CACAGGATCCAGGCCGTGAGCAGCTAAGAGTTCGAAGTGAACCACGAGAGGCGGAGTCAGGCCATCGTCACATTGCATGCGTGGCATGTGCGGTACGGAGCCGCTGCGGTGCAAAGCCCCGCATTTGTTCACACCTCCTGCGTTGTTGCTACGGGGTGCGTTTCCCAAACAACGACGGAAGTTAGCATTAACGATGCATCATACTATACGTACGATTGGGAAACGCACACACAGCTGTGACATTGCAAACCCTATCCTTCTACATTGAGTTTACCTTTGAAAACAGCCATCAGTAACAGAATGTTTGATTTCAATTCATTATAAATGTAATTCACATTTAGTTCAGAGAAAGGTTAAGATGCACATGCTCAATTGTAATAGTACTAATAACTGTAATCATAATAATAAAATAATTTCAGCGCACCAGAAAACTATTGCACTTCACCTAATGTTCTGTTAACTTATTGACCGAGTATAATTATAGCCTACATTAGCTTTTTGCTGTGGTTATATAAATGTAGCCTTCGCTTTCTCCTTTAATAACTGGGAAAATGGTTAAAGTAATATTACAGTGGTACCTCGGTATACATCCTTAATCTGTTCTGTCTTCCCCATAATATCCGTCCGTCCGTCTTTCAGTCCATCTTATCAGGAAAGGGTCACTGACAGGGGTGGGGGGAGTGGGGGGAGTGCGGTTTGGGGGCTATCCCAGGCATTAGTGGACCCGGGGGGGGGTACACCCTGCACAGGCCGCATACACACTCTCACTGAAACACTACATGCAGGTTACAGAAGCAGAGGAGCTGAACTGCATGTCTTTGGGTGGCTGAGGAAGCTGCAGCCCCCAGAGGAAACTCACACAGCATGGGGGGAGCAAGCAAACCCCCCCCACAAAGACATGAGGCAGGACTGGAACCCCAACCCTGCAGGTGTGAGGTAACAGTGCTGCACCTATAAAATATTTTCCCTCCATTCATCTATTTTCTGTGCCCACTTGCCTATTCAGGGCTGTGGGGGTCCGGAGCCTATCGGGGAAGCTATGGGCGCAAGGCTAAGATATATACTATATTTAAATATACCAAATACCAGGTGATTCTATTCTAACCATCAGCAGCACTATCAGGGTGTAAAAACTTATTTTGCTGGTGCAACTGGTTCTGCGAAATGTTTTGACTATTTAGCAAAGGGCTAAAGTCATTTTCTTCCCCCTCAGCACCTGCAGTGAGTCCCAGCTGCAGCAGTGCAGTCATTGTGCAGCCTGACTGAGGGAGGTTTTTGTACAGCTCTGTATCACTGTGTGAACAGATGTTTATTATTGAGGTAGTGGAAACTCTGACAGTAATTATCTCCTGCATCTTCAGCCTGGACTCCACTGATAGTCAGAGTGAAGTCAGTACTGGATCCGCTGCCACTGAATCGCGACGGAGTCCCAGAGTTAATGGTACTTGCATAATAGATCAAGAGTTTAGGAGCTTCTCCTGATTTCTGTTGGTACCAGGCCATGCGAGGATAAGAGCCTCCAGCACCATTTACTGGGCTGTTGGTTTTACAGTTTATAGTGACTGTCTGTCCTGAGGAAGCTGATTTCACCTCAGGAGTCTGAGTGACAGTCACCTGTCCTCTGGATTCTGAAATGAAATACAAAATAAAAACATATTTAAAGTTGAATTAACATACAATATTAAGTGACACCAAGGTGTCTAATGTTTCACAACTCAAGCAATTTGTTGCAAAACAGACAAGCTTGTTCTGTTTTACCGTGAGTGAGGATGAAGAGCAAGATGCTGAGGCTGATCAAAGTCATGTTTGACTGGAGTCTGTTGTGATGAAGGGCAGCTGTCAGTCATGAAGTGTTAAACCTCCTGGAATATAAACCCTCCCAGAGCACTGAGGCATGAGCTGAAAATGCAAAGTATCTTCTGACTGACATCATAACTGCAGAGGAAACAGGAAACTTGTGCTTGAATTTATGAAAAATGTCTCAACATAAATACAGTAGAACTGTATGCGAAACAAGCAGAACAAATGCATTAAACTACAGTCTCTGCTTTAATATTACAGAAGACCTTCTCAGACCTCTTAAGGCTCAATGGATGATACCTGTAGATGGAATTATTGTTGTTTGACCATCAAATGTCTTTACTTTAGATTGAAGACTCGACATTGATTGCGACCATTAATAAATGAGCATTAATGATAATTTGCCGTTTGTTGCCCAAAACAGCTGTTTAACCACAGAGTTTAAAACAGAACTGAGACCCTGGACAGTCAGAGTTAGAAGGTTGTGGTTGTTCATCTGTGAATAATATAAATTTTTTGCAAACTCCTGGTTCTTCTCTGCTTCTTATTAATGAAGGGTGTAGCTGTTGCCAGGAAATTGGTTGCTTATGCATTTAGTTAATTTTTATTTATATTTTGTTTCATTTTGTTGACAACATGCCATTATTTGCAATACTATTTGTATAAAAGGTTTAATTTAGAGTGTTTCTTGTAACAGTGCCTCCTACTGTTCAGCAGAAAGAGCGATATTTACGTAATCACATGACCTAGCGTAATGAACAACGGAAGGTAGGCAAGGTTAGCAAGCGGAATGAAAAATAGCCAAGAAAAGAAAATCAAAAAGGATTGAATGAAAGATGTCATAATGCAGTAATGTGTCCTAATTCTGATCAGAAAGAGCAGACGATATGTTACTGTTTTGCCTTTTCTTGTTTTTATATGTATGTTCGTAATTTTGTGCTGTATTGTAAACACAGTATAAACATGTAGATTGTTTACTTAAGACCCGCGAATGATTATTGTATGTATAATGGCGAAACAATTTTGTAAAAATGGAGTTGTAATGGTAATATTCTTTTATTTCAGTTTTTCACTGTGTTTCACGGTGTTTGATTTGTCACGTCGATGGAAGGAAAAATTAAAAATATCGTGCTGAACATCAGTTGAATCGTGATCTAATTTCTGACAGAAGAAAAACATTAGGAGCCGTTACAAAGGGTGTCTTCCTTGCTTAATGGGACTTCAGTTCTGCTTCTAGGAGCCATCCACTCATTTCCTGTATCCACTTGTCCTATTTATGGTTGCAGGGGGTACAGAACCTATGGGCACAAAGCAGGGAACAACTAGGGTTGCCAACCCCAAATGAGGGACACTTTCTTGCAGGTGCGCACGCAGAGCAGCTGACCAACAATAATGGAAATCGCAAGGTTTCATACTATAAATCTACACATTTCACAGTGTAAAAGGACAAGCCACTAGTGGCCAATGCACACACGCACACCAACAACCGTGTCTCATAGCAACGTTTGCATGGGTTTTGCCATGCTTACAGTAGTGTATTATTGGCCGACGAGGCTGTGATTTTTTATACAGGACTGGAGCTGCCTCTGAAGGGACAAATCAAAATCACCCATATTTTGG